GCCTCACCCCCTGGGATCTACCCGAGAGGAATGCGAGAACAACTGATGAGGCACTTATTCACAATATGTGAGACCTCAAGAGCCCACATTTTCCAGTATTTGCAACTGAAACTTTTAAAAGATGTTTTATCAATCCAACAATTTGAGAAGCTTATCAAGAGGGGAGAAATATCTGTTGGAAGGATGGCAAGAACAGAGGAGAAAAAGAATGAGATAATAACACAAGCTAATGATCTCTTGGATAATATGTTCAGGAAAATGGTTTGACAACTAAGCCTGGATCAGCAAAACCCTCAACTGGTGGTTCTTCTATCTTTTATACCTTGTATCTATCTTTTATTCACTCAAATGTAGTTCATCTTTAGCCCCAAATTACTTTGGCAAAGGGAGACAGAACTGAGTATCATCAACATATAATAATGACACCACAATCTATATCTCTGAATGACCTCACCAAGTAAATTTGTTCTTGTTATAGACAGCATGGGAAACCAAATATATCCCTGTGATGCCCCATAAGCAACTACAGTTGGCCCTCCGTATCCACAGATTTTTTTATCCACGGATTCAAACATCTACAGTTTGAAAATATTCTAAAATGATATAAATTCCAAAAAGCAAACCTTGATTTTGCTATTTTATATAAGGGATACCATTACACTATGCCATTATGTTTAATGGGATGAGCACACACGGATTTTGGTATCCACAGGGGATCCGACAACCAAACCCCAGCAGATATCAAGAGCCCACTGTAATTACAATGCCTTTCAACAATCTCCTAGGGCTGGTAAATGGTACTGAAAGTGAGAAGTTCCAGAGAATCCACAAGGCCACAATCCCCTCTGCATTCTCATTCCTAAAGCAACTATGGGCCTTTGCAGACTGCCAGAAATAGTGCAAATTGAGTCCACTTTAAGGGTTAGGATTAGTGCTAGGGAATCATGAGAATTGTGTGTTGTTGTTGTTTTTCCTGAGACATTGAGCCTTCTCTGTCAGAGAGCTCTGGTGCCACAATAAAATACAGTTCCCATGATTCTCTAACCCTAACCCTTAAAGTGGACTCAATTTGCACTATTTCTGGCAGTCTGCAAAGTCCCTATGGCAGTCAGAAGCTTTTCTGAAATTGATCTATAGAACATTTATTTGCTGGAAATCCTAGAACTGGACTTTCATTACAACTTAACCAAGTTTGTGGAATATTCAAGTTGCAAAACCTTGTGAAGCGATTTACTATGCCAAGATAAACAACGATTGAGTATGAAATGGTAGGCCACAACCTTCACAGAATCCTGGCTTTGTGCTCATTGTGGACAAACTAGGATGCACCCCTGTAAACATGACAGGAAGTAACAATACGTACATCCAGAATTGACCCTGAATATGTATATTCCAACCTAGAGCAGATATGAGCAATTTTATCTGTCAATTGATCACAGCACCTAATAAAATAACTTGTCCCTGGGCGTAAATGGCAACAAGTCCCTCCATAGCTCCATTACACAACAGTGACAAAAAAAGTCTTTCTGCCTCCACTGTCAGTCCAATCACTGTGCACCCCATTTCATTCTGCTATCCATCCTCCAGCTC